GGGATAAAGAAAGAATAAAGGTCCTCCAAGAAATTATAAATTTTATACGTGTGCAGCTTTTCCTTTACCGAAGAATATTGTTGATGTTAGCAGAGATTTTAACATTTATTTTCCTGCTCTATTTCCTTTTTATACATAATGAAATTTGTTATGTTCTTATCATTATATGGATATTACGTATTGCTATTTTTATACCACATGTAACGCAACGTTTTCAACTTTTTCAACTTTTTCCATTTTTTTCCTTCCCAGGGCTGTCCTAGAGAACCACCACGCCAGCCTGTGTTTTAGACTCACCCACAAAGACCAATCTGTAGATATTTTCAAAAACCTCAACAGGTGGGTAGGCCTTTAATATTTGTAACGCTTTGCAGTCACACAGCCAGCGATACAAAATACCCTATCTGGTCACCCAGCAAGGAAAGTGCAACAGGCTTCTCAGGCCTGGCGCAGAAATGCACCAGGTGACCGGAACGGATAATTTTCACTGACGCAGTATAGCGCCAAGTGACTGCAAAGTATTAATTTTTAATTTATATAATTGTGAAGTGTCGTATCCTGTCGGGGGGACTGACATCGACCGTGGGGATTAAAGGAAAATTGAACTCACCATTTGTGTGTTGGAGCAAGTGGCAAAGCCAGGGTGCATAGTGTAAGTGAAATACTCATTTCCAGTGTATGTTTCATTGAACTTCCTCAACAAATTCTGGGGGGTTTTCTTTCTCCAATAACTTTTTTAGTTGTGTGCTGCCTGAATGATACAGTTATTTCCCTCAAACGTGGCCGTTATACTTCCAAACATCATTTTACACTGTATCTCGTGTAGTTTTTTTTTTAAACTCATAGACCCGTTTCATGTACATTTTTTATATACTTTTACTTCTAGTAGTAGTAGGCCTATTTTGCCTGCAGAACATGAATATATATGGCCTTCCTTTTGGCCGCAAATCAATAGTTATTGAGTTATTGGTGTTTGAAAACAACTATATTACAATTACAGTACTGGTAGGACCAATGGCGAAGTGATATATTTTGACTTTTTTGTAACAACATAATTGGCGCTCATATGACCTTATGCAGTTGCGAGTGTCGTAAAAACCTCTACTAAAACTAAACTAAAACTCATGTGGGTTTTCAGGGGGTCACGCCCTCCTGACCTAAAAAGAATCTGTGGGAGGAGGGGGAGGGG